CTGCTATTACCCCTATGTCTTTGAATATCTCATCCCTTGCCATCAGAAGAAGTTGATTGAACCATTTGAACTTTCGAATTTGGTAATTGTGAAACGGTGGCCAGAACCGGGACTATTTTTGGAATGCTGGTTTGCATTTTGCGTTTGTGTTTGCAAAATGTCGTGGTAAGCAAGAGTCACCACCGTCTTTTATTTTATCCAACAAGAAAAGGAAAAAAGCACAGAAAAATTCCTTTTTCGAGACATTTTTGAGTACGGGGGTATATTATAGAAAGGGAAGGTATTAGCACCCTTTCTATCCGTAGTTATCTACGGGCTCTTAGGTACTTGCTCATTGTTTTCAAAATTGTTTTCTTTGTGTTTGTGGGTTTTGAAAAGTTTCTGTTTTGACTTCGATTTAACTCTTGCGTCTGTCTTCAAGAGTGTAATGAAGTGTTTTTTAAAACTTGTTTGTAAAAGAGTGTAAGTGTGAAAAAGTTTTGTTTTGATTGAGCAAGTACTTAAGAACTAATCTACCTACTCGAAAAAGGAATTGTTCTATGTTTGTTTCCTTTAGACAATGCTATCCCACTATTAGTGAGTAGGTAGCACCGTCGTTGGAGTTTGAGGGTCAATTCGAAAGAGGGACATACAGTCATTAAAGCAATGTTAGAACGTCTTAATGGTAACCCTAATGTTTTAGATCATTTATCCGAGGCAACAATATCCGAGGCAACCTTTCCGAGGCAACTATGATCTTTTAGACAAAAGGACGACCTCTAAAACAACCTATGCTCAATGACCGTTTACGAAGGCAACCAAGTGGGAGTGTACCCTAAGAGTGCGCATGTGCGAGTGTGTCAATTTCAGATTATTTTATCTTTTCACATTTAGGGTGATCTAACTGTTTTAAATTTAGCCATACATTCTTGTCATGCAAACCCTATTATCAAACATCTAGCAGTTAAATAATTTGTAGAATTAAAATGCGGAATTTAAACTAAACTATTACAAGGCTTCGGGTATTTACATAGCCAAAAACAAACCCTTTGAAATTAAAAGCGGTAAAAATAAATAAATGTCCTAATTTAATTATTACAAACCGGGAGTAGATACAATAATTGGATAAAAAATAAAACGTGCGAGAAAATTAGATCGAATGCGAAAACTAGGGTTTTGACCCTCTTAATTAAAATAAAATGTTTTTTTGTTGTTTTTAATATTAAAAAGAAATAGGTTTTTTCTAAATTAAGAATGCAATTGTTAGTTAATTAAGTTAATTAATGAAAAATAATTATAAGACCTATTTTTGGAATTTTGTTACTTTAGGAAAGAAATAAAATAATTAAGTTAGTGATAAAACCTAATTATTCTAATTGATTTTAATTATTTGCAAAAATAAATTAAAGTTATCTAAAATTAACCTAATTAAATTAATTGATTTTTTTACTAAAAATAAATATCCTAAATTTAATTTATGAAAAATACTATTTTTATGATTTTTTGATAAAAAGAAAATTAATTTGGTGGTTAGTAAATAAATAAAAATAATTTAAATGAAATATAAACAAAATATAAAAGAGATAGAGGAATTGGGCCTGAAAATTGAGGTGTGAATAGTCAGAATTCTGGCCCATTAGTGCTGATCCATATTGACTTTTGTGGATCCTGTGCATTGCGTTTGACTGGGCTCATGGTGGACTCCCAATGGTGGCCACCAGATCTGGCCATCTGACCATCTGGCGCGTTGGATGATGAGGGAGCATGATTGACATCCTGGCTTCGCTTGCACTGAATCACCTGAAATAATATAGGAAAAATAACAAATGTTGGAGGCAGGGATCAAACCCCTGACCTTCAGCCTCTAACGCCTTGAATACTCACGTGGCCACCACTACGCCAATTTTGTTTTGTTGTACATTAATCAAACATTGAAAATAATATGTGAAACAAAAGAATATTGAAAGACAATAAAAAAATGCGCGCGGAAATTTGAATGGGCGAATCAGGTGGATCCACGTATTTGTCTTCCTCCCTGCACCGTGGCTAAAGGTTTGAGACCCTATACCCACGGACAATGTCCGTCTCTATAACCATGCCAATCCTCAAAATCACGCACAGGCAATATAAATGACCACCAAGGCCATGGTTAGAACCGTCTCCTTCTTCTGAAAACAACCGTACCATTCATGAAGGTTAATTGTCCCTGAAATAAAAATCCCTAAACCAAAGTCCGAAACCCTAACAATGGTGGATTTCGTTACAGACCATATAAATGAAATTGAGTAATGCAGGAAGCTTGCAAATGCTCTATAGATTAAGAATATGCCATTAATTCAGGTTAACAATGCTTAGATTTCAAGATGCGAATTCAAGAACAGGGCGAGGTTATGAACGACTTACAACGCGTTTAGGGACCGAAACGGACTTGTTCTTGATAGCTTTAGGTTGCTGAGAGTGCCGTGAAGCGATTGGGAGAGGTATCGAGCCTTGAGGATGCCTCTAAGTGGGATTTTGATCTCACACTTTTCTTGGTATTTTTTAGATTTTGTTATATCTCTAGCGCCTATTTCCGACCTCCCTTTTGATCTGCACCCAGTCTATATGTATTAGTGAAGGAATTAGGGTTGCAAAACTGGTCCAAATCTTCCTCCTTCAATGCTTTTTTATTTGATTTGATTCCTCTTTACAATCTTTCCAAACATGGCTTCTTTTCAATCTTTTTGTACACATATGCATTTGCACGAATTTGAATGCTTGCAATCTAGAATTTAAGACCTGAAATAATCACAAGATCCTTTGTTATCAATATTTTGGATTTTATTTGATTTATTATGATTTAATTTAAATTAATTCAAATAAAAATAAAAATAAATAATAAAAATAAGATATGGACAAGTGGCAAAGGCTAGAACACGTGGGCTATGTTGCCAACTTAAAACAAGTGAAAAAGATTGGGCCCATTTGGCAAAATTTGAAGTTTTGGGGATAGTTGACTTTTGGCAATTTTGCAAAAAAGGCCAACTTCAACAATGCATAACTTCCTCAATTTTGACTCTTTGGAGGTGTTCTTGGACTTTTAGAAAGCTTGAGATGTCCTATAATCAACCCTTTTGGTCTCATCTCATTTTGATATTCCATGCTCATGTATGAAGCTTTGACAAAAAGGTGTTTTTGTTGACTTTTCAAAATGACCTATAATGTCCAAATTCACAACTTCTTGTGAGTGCATATTTTGAACTTGGGAACTGAAGATGGATTGTAGGGAATTGAATCCTATTAAGAATGAGCTTTGGATGGGTCATTTCTCATAAAGTATGAGAAAGTTATGCTTGGTCAAAGTTGGGTTGACTTTTCCTACAAAACCCTAATTTAGCAACTTTTGAGTCTTGATGAATTATGAGCAATCCTTGATGAATCATGATCAACCCTTGATCAAATGATGAAATATACTTAAAAATGAGGATGTTGACCAAATTTTTTGAAGTTTGACTGTATGTAGGCCACAGTTGACTTTTGCCCTAACACAGTCGATTTTTAGACCTTTGAGCAATTGACTGAGCAAACTTTCTCTGCAAGGCTTGAAACTTGACATGGATAATCTTGAGAACATATTAGGACAATATTGAGCATTTTGGACCACTTGGACTCAAGTATCTTGATGCAATATGAAACCCTAGTTTGAGGTAGACTGCCTTATGAGAGAGCTTGTCTGACCAACCCTTGGACTGCCTTTAGCAACTTGAGGATCTTTCTTGAAATGTTTTGAGAAATATGGGAGGAGAAATTTTTGGGTACAACAGTAATAAAGCTTGTATGTAAGTGATCCAACGGGACATAGTCGTACGCTTTAATCCCTAATTTTTGCCTGGACCGCCCTTTCAGGTTTTCGACTTGCCGGGTGTACAATATTTTATATATATATCCCTTATTTTTGCCTGAACCCTTTTGGTTCGCCGAGATGCCCTTATTTTTGTCTAGGTATGTCAACCTAACGGGTCATTCTTATGCGTAGTATTTTTTTACTATGTCCGCATTCACAGTTTCATACCCCAAATTTTCCCTATCCTTAATTATATTTAAGATTCTATTCATTAAAATTGCATTATATAGTTTTTATTTTTATGAGGTTGTTTAAAATCAGAGAGGGGTGTATCGATCCAAAATGGACCATCATCAATATCTGATGACCCATTAAGTTTTTTATAGGTTGTATTTTAAGTTAAAATCCAGGTGCATTATCTAGCCAAAGAGGTGTGAACGAATCATAAAGCCCATTAAAGATTAACTCGTTCGCTTTACGAATAAAGGGAGTTCGCATTCAGTTGGCCCATAAAAGTATTTTATTTTTGTTTAAAGCCCAAAGATTAAACATCTAGCCCATCTCTTTTTTTGAGAGACTTGTTGTTTCTTTGTTTTGATTTATTTTTGAAAAAAAAGGTTGAACTGGCCCAAAACAGTGTGGCCCATTTTCATTTTAAATTTGTTAAAATGTGCATTTTCTAAATGTTATCATTAGTTACCTTTATTTTCCTTTTTAGAATTATTATATTTAAATAATTTTTTTGGCTAAAGAAGGACATCAAATGAATAATTTAAGCCCAAATGAAAAACAAGCGTGGCCCAAATAAATCAAGGCAAGTGCATACAATACAAAATAAATGCAGATTTCATTAACATTCATTGTTCTTTAACTAAGCAGATTCGATACAGGACATAAACAAAAATAAATCAATTGTAAATTAAGCACAGAACCAGATCATACAGAAGCAGAAACTTCATTAATACAGAATCAAAACTCCATTACAAAAGAAATCCAACTCTTATTACCAAATCAACACTAAAAAATAGAAGCAAGTCGTTTTTATTAAAACTACAGAAAAACTTGCCAAACTAAAAGCAGAAACATTATTGCTGGCATTCAAAAGCTGTGACTTCTTCCCTAAAATTACCATCCCTAATCAAACTAATTAAAAGTGTTTCCTAAAAAACTAATTCCATAAAGTCTATAAAGCGGACAGATGGTTACAGCAAAGAGGGGAAGGGGAAAGAGTGTTTTAGATCCACCCTCACCGTCGACAGCAACATCTCGCACGCATCTGCTTGCACCACCGCTGCACACGGACAACCTCTTCTCTATTCATCAGCTTCCTTCTGTCGATTCCGTTTTCAACCTAGCTCCAACCCAGAACTACCGCGAGATCCAGCGGTCACAAATCACAGCACCTTACACCAACAAACACCAAAGTCCGTGACACTTCCCTTACGCGATTCAATCTCCTCAAATCGTCGTGCCGCCGTGGATTCAAAAGTAGGGATGTTTGTAAAAAAGGGAGAAGAGAGAATACGAAATTATGTTATCATGGGTGATTGATGGCGAGGTTGGGTTGGATGAATTAGATGAGTGAAGGGAAAGAAACAGAGGAAGCAAAAGGTTGCAAAATGAGGAGAGGAGATGGGAAGTAGTTTTGTGGTAAGCTTTAGGTTTAAGGTTAAAACAACTTTTGTTCTTTTTTTTTAAGTTGGCCAAACCCGGGTCAAGCCTGACCCGGTCTAGCCCATATTTTTTTTTCCTTTTTTGTTTGTAATTTGCTGTATATATTCCCGAGTCGGGTCTCTAAAAGCCCAATTCACTCAACTCACTTTAGGTTCTGCACCACCCTCCTATTTTGTTTTATTGTTGAATAAACAAAAATCATGAGGGCCCTGCTTGCCAAATCCTATAGCCCAGCGAAAATTTCACCTCATACCCCCCCTTTCTGCTAGCTTAGAGTATTATGCACCCCCTGCAAAATTAGTTTTATTTATTTATTTTTTCTTTTATAATTTCATTTATACATTTGTTTATTTATTTTTCTTATATATATATATATATATATATATATATATATATATATATATATATATATATATATATATATATATATATATATATATATATATATATATATATATATATATATATATATATATATATATATATATATATATATATATATATATATATATATATATATATATATATATATATATATATATATATATATATATATATATATATATATATATATATTTATATTGTTAATATTAGATTATTATAAATGATTCGTTATTTTAAACTCATTTAAATTATAATATTGTTTATTTGTATTAAATTATATCCTTTAATCATGACCCTTAAAAATATTTTTCACAATATGAATTGGTTTTAGTATTTTATATCAAAATATTAAAACCCGCACAATTCACCAAATTATTACATCTGCGAGCGACACGTGGCCAACATCTGGCCACGTGACAGGGGGACTATATCGGACTCCTTTACTCTTCGTATAACAAATACTACAACGAACACCAATCTTTTTTCGCAAATTAAGTTAATTCAACATTAATTTTCGAAAAGGAATACGAATATATTTAAATTAACTGCGTCATTGGTCTAACAAACTTTGCTATTCACACTCTTAGACTACGTACGCGGGAAATTCAAATATATTTCGCGAATCCATAAAAAAACACAAAGAACCCCGCGAACTACGAAATAGGACTCTGATTCCTACTAAGAGGATACGTAGGCATACGATCAAAAATCGTGGCGATTCCCCCTAACTAAAACTCGAACCTTCCCCCCTAACTAAAATTCAAACCCTTTTCCCAAATAAATAATTAAAATCCTATTTCCTAAACACCGCGCTTCTAAACCTAGTATCCTTACGAACAAGGTAGATAAGGGGTGCCTAAAACCTTCCCCTCATTTAGAACCAAGTCCAAACCTAGAATCTCTGAATTTCTTTTTAGGTTATTCGTTTATACTACCTTCCTTTATGATAAAAATTAAGGGTGGCGACTCTGATTAAAAAACCAGTTGCAACACACAGGGTGCAAGAAATCTTCACCACCCGAGAATACTTTCTTAACAACAAATGACCCTTCATAGGTGGGAGTCCATTTTCCCATGGGACCTCCTTGTGGTAGAATGATGCGCTTTATTACCATGTCACCAGCCTGATATACCCGATGTTTGATCTTCTTGTTGAAAGCTTTGATCATGCGTTTCTGGTACATCTGACCATGACAAACAGCCGCCAACCTCTTTTCGTCAATCAAACTCAACAGATCCAACCTCGATTGAATCCATTCGTATTCGTCTAAGTCTACTTCTTTCATAATCCGTAGAGAAGGAATCTGAACTTCGACAGGCAGGACAACTTCCATGCCATAGACTAGAGAGAATGGGGTTGCCCCAGTTGATGTTCGCGTCGAAGTACGATAACTGCGATACGGTGGGAGAACTGACTTGAAGGTTTTGCGTTTGATCGCAAATGTTGCGGTTAACAAGAGTCGCCACCGACTTTTCTTTTATCCAAAAGGAAAGGTGAAAAAGCACAAGAAAGACCTTTGAGATTATTTCTTGAGTTCGGGGGGTAGATTATGAAGAGGGAAGGTATTAGAACCCTTTTCATCCATGGTTTTCCATGGGATCTTAGTTACTTTCTAGATCACTTGCTTTTATTTGAAATTGTGCTTTATGTGGTTTTTTAAAGTATTTTATAAAGAGGCCATTGTTTAGGCAATCTTTGTAATGATTCTCGTTTGTAAGAATGTATACAAAGATGTTTGATCTTTTGAAAATTTTCAAGTTTGTAAGAGATTTTGAAAGTGTAGGTGTTTGTTTTGAAAATGGCAAGGATGTTTTGAAATTGAGCAAGTAATTAGGAGCATTCTACCTACTCAAAATTTTTTCTTGTTCACTTCTTTTTTCCTTTGACATTGTTATCTTACCATTGATTTGGTAAGTAACCCTATCTTTGGATGTAAACGGGACGAGCGTGGGTCATCGTATAACCATGATTAGCAATGTTGCGAAGTATCTTAGCATTCTATTTTAGGGACAAAGATCATTTGAAAGGCAACTTAGATAGCGTCATCGAGGGACTATCATCTTATATTTTGCTTATTTTTGCTAAGATACCTCACATGCGTAATATGACCATTTTGTAAAGGCAACCAAGTGGATTTACCCTAGGGGATGCTTGTGTACAAGTGTATTGTTTTCATGCTTGATTTTGTCTTTGATTAGGGTTTTTCTAAGTATTTCTTTTAGTCCTTCCATACAAACCCTAATTACTAGCATTTGTATATAAAAGCGATAAATTGCAGAATTTAAAGTTACTACGCTATTACAATACTTGTGGGAGGGGGTGTACAAATTATGAATGGGGATTGCAAGAAAATAATCCTAATTAGTCTATTACAACCATATTGAATTGGTATAAATGTACAAGAAATTAAATGTATATAATGTACAAAAATGAATAAATATACAACAATACAAATGTGAAGAAAATGGATATTTGTTTGGATTTTTTAGAGAAAATGGGTTTTGATTTTAACCTAATCAACTAGAATAAAATAAATAATTAAACCTAAATTTACTAAGAAAAGATTTTAAATAAAACCCTAATTCTATTAATTGATTAAAAAGAAATTAAGTTTAAGAAAAGTATTTTTGGTATTTTTGTCTTGAAAATAGTTATAGTGTTATAAAATATTTTTGGTCTTTTTTATATTAAAATAATATATTTTAATTGGTGTAAAAGAAAATAACTAAACATATTTTTTAATTAAATTTACAAAGATAATTAGTAAAATAAATAAAGTATTGATTAAATTAAATAATTTTTATTGAGAAAAATAAATAAACTATGTCAAGATAAAAATCTAATGTTTTTGTATTTTTTATATTTTTTTAATATTAGAAAATATATTAAGAAAATAAATAAAATAAAAAAGAAAAGTAAATAAAACTGGGTCAGGGGTGTGTAAATGAAACAGGGGGGTTAGCAAGCAAAAACAAAAACAACAAGGCCCAAGGAGGCCCAGTGCCTGCCAAAAAAGAGGACAGAATGCAAAACAATGTAAAAAAAATCAAAAGGGTACCACTGGGGCTCGAACCCAGGTCCCTCTGGTTAGAGGCGCGCGGTTCTACCACTGGGGTGTCTATACACCCGTTTATATAAATCAAACAATAAATACATAAGGCAAACATGTTCTTGAGGCCAACTTCATCTTCAACCTCACGCCCAACCAGAACCTCTGTAACTTGTTCAAATCTCAACAAAAATGAAAACTGTAAACATGAAACTTGTTGCAAATTTCCTCACGGTTTCAGAAATGTAAAGCATTAAAACTATAGATCAAAGATAAGCATGAATTTCATTGGCCCTAATCTGAACCCTAAAATTCTCAGAAACTTCAATCTTAAAATTCTCTAAGCTCAAGCAAAATTAATGGAAACTAAGAACATGGTTAGCTTTAGGGCAATGATACCTACACATTTTATTCACAAATAAATCATTGATGATGCATGTATGAAAAGTTCCAAAGTTAGAAAACTTACCTTGCAAGAGGGTATTAGGTTTGAAGTTTGAGCAGCTTTCAGTGAGTTCCAATGGTTGGGTTAGCTTCCTCAAGTTCTCAGGAAGCTAATGGGATGCTTAGCTTTAGCTGAAAGTACCTAAGGAGTTCTAGAGAAGTCCAAGTGCAAAGCTCTGTTTTTTAAAATGGAGGATGGTATTAATGGTGTTACAGTTTTGTAACAGGGTGTGGGATGATTTCTAAATGATGTTTAGAAACTTTAGGAACCAAAAGGCTTGAAAACGCATGAGGGAGTTATGAGTTTCAAGTTTTTGGTCAGTTTATGTGAAAATGGAGGTATGAGATGTGATTCTGAGCTCTTGGTGTTTTTAGGGGTCAAACATGTGTATGTTGTGTGGCAAATGGTTTGTATATCTATAAGAAAAAGGATTAGAGTGGTTTGGACAATCAGAAGTACAAGTTTTCAGCTAATTTCTAGGTTACTTGATTTTGAAGAAAAGTGGGAAACCAAGTTTCAATGTGAGGTACAAGCATGGGCTGAGTGATTGTAAGTGTCTAATAAGTTTCTTATGGGTTATGAGACTTGTAAGATCAGAAGAGAACAAGTGCAAGGCGCAAGAATAAGTTTTGTGTAAAAAAGCACTTTATCAAAATGGCAATGTACACTTTCTTCCCAAAATGGATATAAAGCATGGCCTTGCATTGAATGCTTGAAATGAGACCTCTAACAGTTGTGCAAGAAATTAATTATGTAGTGCCTAAAAATTTTGAGGCCTGCAAAGTAGATTTTATGCAACATAACTTTGAATTTGAATTTTGTTCATCACAAAATGCCTTGTAAATCAAGTGATAAAACCCTAACTTCCTCTCTTCGATT